AAGTTCAAATAATTTTTTTTCTTGTTTTGGAGGGTCTCCTGAAGGCATTCATCACTGAAGGAGTTCATTTGTGGCAGATTCCATGCGTGATAGAGAAATGCTTTAGATATATTTTGTCTAAATGTTATAATTCTAAAATGCTGTCTTGGTTTGAATAATATCTATTTATGTGCTGAAAATGATTATGTACATCGGATTCCAAATAAATTTCCACTTTTTGGATAAAAAAAGAAGCTTATCTGATTTGATCTTATCTTATCACATCTTATCTTACCTTGTTACGCTATTTATTTGTTTTGCACGGCTTGGACGCTGTTGCCCTTAAATATTATGATAATTTACAGCAACAATTAAATAGTAATAAGTCATAAATATCTCAAAAGTCAAAACATTGCAAGAAAAAAACAAAGAAAACCATCTACACAACTGTAATCAGACCAGTTGTAACATATGCTAGTTATTAATAATTATCATAATCAAACATTACCAATACTAACTATAGTCCTACCATTTTCTTAATAACATTACAACTACGACTCTACATACCAGTACACATGAATATGAAAGTGAACAATACTAACCCAACACAATCAGGATAAACACACTTTATCAGCTAATTATGCCAGCCAGGCTCTTCTGACATAATTCAGGTAAGAGAGGCCGATACATGATTTGGGCTTTCAATATATACTCTAAATTTGGCGTGCTTGTCCCGCATTTAAGCGTGGCATCCCAGAGTCGTGTTTAAATGACTCACAAGCGTGGCTTGGGATTCCGTTACTTTTTAAGCGTTGGTCATCAGAGTGACAACTCAGAGTTGGGACGCTTGACAAGAATGAGTGTATTGCTTAAACTGGGTCATGGCCAAAGTGAATAAGTTAATTTCCATTGCTATTTGAGTCTACTTTTATTATTTTAAGGCCCAGCCTAATTGTGTCATATCGCGTGGGGTAGCGCTGAACGTGTGGGGAAGCGATGGAGAGAGTGGAGCCAGCGGGTCTCATAAAGGTGAGGACCAGCGGGTATCAACAGCATCCTTGTCTGACTCCTGTTTCGACTGTAAAGGAATCTGTGAATCTACCTTCATGGACCACCCTGCATGTCATTTCTTCATAAGAGCTCTGAATGATCCTGACTAGTTTCCCTGGTACTCCATAGTGCCGAAGAAATTTCCACAAGGTTTGTCGGTCCAGGCTATCAAAGGCCTTTTCATAGTCTATAAAATTTATATATAGGGAGGAGTTCCATTCGATGGACTGCTCTACAATGATTCTTAGTGTTGCTATTTGATCTGTGCATGATTGGTTTTGGCGGAAGCCGGCCTGTTGATCTCGTAGCTGCATGTCGACCTGGTCTTTCATTCTGTTCAAAATAATTCTGTTAAAGACCTTTCCTGGTACAGACAGCAGTGTGATTCCTCTGTAATTTGCACAATTGCTGAGATACCCTTTCTTTGGTATCTTGATGAGGTATCCTTCATTCAAATCTTTTGGAACTCTCTCTTCTTCCCATATCTTTTCAAACAGAGGGTGAAGCATGTTGACAATTGTATCTATATCAACTCTCATCATCTCTGCTGTGATGTTGTTATAGTTCAGGGGCGTGGAAAAAAAAGAGCGGTTGTGAGCCTTGAGAGTAGGGGGGGGGGAGGGGGGCACTCATTGGTATTCTTATAAATTGAGTTACTTGTATGAATGTTTATTTATATTATCACCACCATCCCCAATTAATGAAGGATTTATATGAACCACTGTTTTTAGAGATTTGATTTTTAAATTTTCTTATAAATGTATAGGTGATGTTATTATATTATTTCTATTACCCAGCTATTTTCTGATAAATGTAAAGTTGATGTAACATTATTTCTATTTCCCAGCTATTTGATATGGGAAGGACAGACGTTCATTTCATTTTATTTCTAACATTTGTAAGTCTCCCAGGAGTGAGAAGTGAAAATGGTGAGTCCTAGTGTGTTTTAAAATGTTATTTTACATTTAATAATTGGACTAGATTTTTTTTTAATAAATAAAAAATAAATCTCAAGTTACTTGGAAGGTTTTTGAGTATTTATTATCTGTTTAAATATGTTTGTCGCAACATGTATGTGCTTAAACTGGTTTGTTGTATGTGCTTAAACTGGTTTGTTGTATATGCTTAAACTGGTTTGTTGTATGTGTTTAAACTGGTTTGCTGTATGCGTTTAAACTGGTTTGTTTTATGTGTGTGTTTAAACTGGTTTGTGTCAAGACATGAAACATACGATTAGCATTGTTATTATTTTTTTTTATTTACCTTAACCGGATATCGCTTTTTCCTTACACTGGGAGTCATTAATTTTTCCTTACATTAAGGGTCGGTACTTTTTCCTTGCATTGTGGTTAGGTACTTTTTCCTTACATTGAGGATCGGTACTTTTTCCTTACATTGTGGGTAGGTACTTTTTCCTTACATTGAGGGTAGGTACTTTTTCCTTACATTGAGGGTCGGTACTTTTTCCTTACATTGAGGGTCGGTACTTTTTCCTTACATTGAGGGTCGGTACTTTTTCCTTACATTGAGGGTCGGTACTTTTCCCTTGCATTGTGGGTCGGTACTTTTTCCTTACATTGTGGGTCGGTACTTTTCCCTTACATTGTGGGTAGGTACTTTTTCCTTACATTGAGGGTCGGTACTTTTTCCTTACATTGAGGGTCGGTACTTTTACCTTACATTGAGGGTCGGTACTTGTTCCTTACATTGAGGGTCATCCCCTTTTCCTTACATTGAGGGTTGGCTAACACTAATTACGCCACTAATAGTATGTAATGAGAATAAAAATAAATTGCATGAGTGTATTTTTTAAATATATATTTTTAAATAGATTAGGTGAGTAAATTATTTTAAATTTAGTGCACTATATTATTAAATATATCAAACACATATTTTCAATGTGTTTGTTTTAAAAATATTTTTATGTGGGCAAAAAAAAAAGGCGTACAATTTTAATTGACGCTAAAAGGTCAACATATGACATATAAATATTTGCATGTATTTATAACGATACAATGAGTATAGTTTTATTCATGTTAAATGATTAAAAAATCTCAGTGAATACTCAGCAATGTTTTAAATTGTACTAGAATGACACAAATTTAATTATACATGTTTAGTAACATGCAGGTGGGATGGCTCCTTTGAGGCTGAAGGCGAATGTTTCCTGTACAACAGCACACAACTGTCTTATTCAGATGCTAAGGTAAACATGTTGGATTTCTTGTGTATTGTAAGCAGACGTACATAGGTGTGTTCTGGTCAAGTGTATCAACTGCAGGACATGACATATTGGGCAGGGAGGCAAAAACGATTCCGGCAGCATCTGCGACGTCACAGGTGACAAACTGAATCAGGCATTGACGTCTGGGCCTGCTGTTAGGTTTAACTGATGTAGGTGTAATAAACATTTCAAATGTAAACAGACAGTTTAGATGATGAGACGATTGATAATGCAAGACAGTAGCATGTAGATTTCTTGCTCAAGTTGTTTGACACAGCCAGTAGATTGTAGACTTCATACTCAAGAAGTTTAGTTGATGTGTTTAATTGATGTGTTTAGTTGATGTGTTTAGTTGATGTGTTTAGTTGCTGTGTTTAGTTGATGTGTTTAGCTGATGTGTTTTCGTTTGTGTGTGTGTGTGTTTTATTTCGAAATATTTTTTATCACGCCATCTTTGGGATAATAGTAGGAAAAGAATAAAAAGGCATTACAAAATCATGAACTAAACACATCAACTAATAACATCAACTAAACACATCAATCAAACACATCAACTAAACACATCAACTAATAACATCCACTAAACACATCAATCAAACACATCAACTAAACACATTTAAAAAACTCTCTTTAATAAATCTGCAGCCAACTAGGTTGTTTATTTGAAATACCGCATTATAATTTTAAAATAAAATATGTCCACTTCAGAGTTCATGTCAATCAAAAGGTGGAGTTCTGGCAAAGTTGAAGTCAAGGACCCAGTTTTTTGCAGTATCTAAATATACAAACTGTAAGTCATAGAGTATAAGTAGTGGAATTCTTTTTCTGTCTGCCTCTTGGCGGCACGCGTCATGACCAGGTACAAATCGTGATGTTCCGCAAGGTGTTAGGCCAGTTACTCTCATTTAAAGTGTCTTTAACACAATTGATGCACCACATGTCGTGTCATCCTAAATCACTGAAACTGGAGCCCCCTCTACTTCAAGCAGAGTGTTTGACAGCTTTATTAACGGCTTGTGAATCCAATGGATTTCTTTGTCTGGAAATATAGTGTCTGATTAATACATCACGAAATGGTTCAAATGTGGTTATTACTAATCTTAACAAATAGTTTCTCACATTTGAAGAGTTTTGTCTCCAGAATGTATTCAGAGCTCAGGCCTGGCACTGGTTAGATTTGGAATAAAGACGCTGTTATTCATCATGTGATTTATTCTTTATAGATGTTCATAGTTTTCTTATAGATAGTTCTATTTTGTAACAGAGTTCGTTTAACATCTGAACTTTTTTCTATATCATTATCTTCGTCCACGTTTCCATCATCAACAAAAATGTTATCTCTCAGCGTTGACTGAGCAGCTGACTACTGATATGTATTTTAAGCCTTTTGTTAAAAACTGTGTCTGACATCTGCAAAAGTTGACAAGAAACACCTGCCCTTTATTTTTCTTCTATTGCAAAGTGGAGACAAACAGGTTTAGTTGCATTTGACAAGACAATTCGAATAAAAAGTAATGCCAGCCCAGTACAAGTCATCTACCCCCCCCCCCCATTCACCTAATCCCCCACCCCTCCCCCCCAATTCATCAACCTTCTCCCTTTTTTTACGCCCTCACCCTCTCGGGTATTTTCCCCCTGCATTGATTGGGGGGGGGGGCATGTATCAATTATGAACACATTTTAAGGTTTAACTTGAAGCACAACGTAAATGAATTCTTGAATGTATTTCACACTGCAGATATTGACGCCTGGATCGGTGCCAACGATAGTGTGAAAGAGGGAACATGGGTGTGGGAAGACGACGGCGCTGTGGCCACAGAGTTGCCCGGACTTTGGTACCCAAGTGAACCAAGTAACAAAACGCTCTCAGAGGACTGTGCACTAATTGTTTCGGCGCAGGTTTTTGATGAAGAATGTGACAGACATAATAGATTCATTTGTGAGGAGAAAGGTACTTCATTTAAATATCACTTTACATCGGTTGAACGATTATGTTGTCAACGTGATCTACAGAATGGAACAAACACGAATCGACGTTTTCATCAAACAACTCACAACATTGTTTCTGTTATCAGTATATAGAATTTTATTAGCAAAGGAATGCATGTGGCTTACGAAACAAATCAAACATTATCAATGTTATCACTTGACAATTTATTAACATTACACTATACGTTAAAATAAAGAAATCAAGCACAAAGAGGCCGCATGGGAATAAAGCTATTCTATATTATAAATCAACAAACTTGTTGCTAGCATGAATGTAAGAATAGACTACCGAATAGTTTATAGCATAAATAGACTACAAAATTTAGTATAAATAGACTAGTAATTTGTGGCTAGTAAAAATAGACTGCTAAATTGTTGCTAATAGAAATAGACCAGTAAATTGTTTCTAGCAGAAGAAGAATATTAAATTTTGCTAGTAGAAATAGACTAGTAAATTGTTGCTAGTAGAAATAGACTAGTAAATTGTTGCTAGTAGAATATGACTACTAAATTGATACTAGAATAATTAGACTACTTACTTGTTGCTAGAATAAATAGACTACCAAAATTGTTGCTATTGTAAATGAACTGTATAGGTCTCGACGTTGTATGTCTCTTACCATTGTATGACCCTTAAGATTGCATGGCCCTTACCATTGTATGGAGATTACGATTGTATTGCTCTTACCATTGTATGAATCTAAAGATTGTATTTACTTCACATATGACTTTCACACAGATCTATTGAATAAATAATCCGATGCTATAAGATGTATGGTAAAGAGCCTATCTTCAAACACATGCCTCCATTTTTACTTATCTCCTTCTAAACTCCTGCGCATGAGTGGTCGAGTGGTCTCAAGTTGGTGGTCTGGAGTTCAATTCCAGCCAAAGCCCAGTCAAGCAAACAAATCTCACCAGCCCCCCGGGTAGATGGGACTCGTTAACCTTGGTCGGCAACTAATCTAAGAGAAGGCAACTCTAAATTCAAAACCCCGAGATGGCGTCCCCTACAGGCGGCAAACATAGAAAAATAATGAATCATTCCGACAACCCCTGCGACGCCCCGGATGCCATCACTGAGACAAAAAACAATAAATTATTCCGAAACAAAAGTATTATCTAAATATTTGATCTGTGACAAACTTAATAAACTTATTAATTGTAGTTAGCACTGTTTTGAGTGTCGTATTCTTGTGCTATTGTATTTCCCATATGGTATCGTCTTTTGTTATGCACTGTTTAGAACGAGCCATACACTTTAAATAAGAGATTAATTTCTCCCTATAGACATCAGAGCGTAACACCCTTATATGGCCCTTAAAATTCATTGCCCCTTAAAACTTTATGGCCCTTAAGATTGTATGGCCCTTAACATCGTATGTCCCTTAACATTGTATGGCTCTTACGATTGTATTGCTTTTACCATTGTATGGTCCTTAGATGGTATGGCCCTTAAAATTTATGGCCTTTAACATTTATGGCCCTTAAAATTGTATGACCCTTAACATTTATGGCCTTTAACATTGTATGGACCTTAACATTGTTTGGCTCTTACGATTGTATGGATTTTATCATTGTATGGCCCTTAAGATTGTATGGCTATTACCACTGTATCGCCCTTAAGATTGTATGGCCCTTAAGATTGTATGGCTATTACCACTGTATGGCCTTTAAGATTGTATGGTCTTAAGATTGTAGGACCCTTTAAATTTTATGGCCCTTAAGATTGTATCGCCCTTAAGATTGTATGGCCCTTAAGATTTTATGGCCCTTAAGATTGTATGGCCCTTAAGATTGTATCGCCCTTAACATTGTATGGCCGTTAAGATTTTATGGCCCTTAAGATTTTATGACCCTTAAGATCGTATGGCCCTTAAGATTGTATGGCCCTTAAGATTGTACGACCCTTAAGATTGTATGGCCCTTAAGATTGTATGGCCCTTAACATTGTATGGTCTTAAGATTTTATGGCTATTACCATTGTGTTGCTTTTTATTTTCTATTATAACAACACTAGTTTGATATTTATTCTAGTAGGAAAGTTTAAAGGCGATGTTATAGGTTTAAGCTAGAAAATAAGTTGAATTATGTTTCAACAAGATCCCAATAGGAATGAAACTTGCATTTTGATATATTTGACAGCGATGATCACAACTCCAGATCTGGCGGCTTCGGCGAGCACAACAAAAGATCCGATCACAACTCCAGATCTGGCGGCTTCGGCGAGCACAACAAAAGATCCGATCACAACTCCAGATCTGGCGGCTTCGGCGACAGTAGACCCGATCTGTACGTCCACCTCATCTGTGACAGTTCCGGTAACCACAATGATGAAATGTGACGCCATTTTCATCAACGTCAATGTTCAAATGCTGTTGTTGTTAAATTTGTACGCGTTCAGTTATCTAGTTATTTGAATTGAACTATTATTATTTTATTTTTTTTTCTTAGATTTTCATTATATACAGGAAATCATTTTTTGTTTTACTTGATTTCAAGCAGTATTTTTTTTTTTTAAAGTGGGAAGTAAAATAAATTTTTTACATAAATAATCAACATTGTCAATAATGGTTTATAGGTAGAGGATTCAAGTGATTCAGGTCAAGTTTTTGTTACACCTGTGCAAAATAATTTCGAAATCACGAATTATCTAGCGAATGTGTACAAAGGAATGTTGTTTTGAATGAAATACTGTTCGAATGAAACTACTGAAAAGAAGCGTTAAAAAAAAACAAAAAAAAAACACTTAATGTCAAGTGAAAGGGGAGTGAACAGGGTGCACCACCACACCCCAGAGAAAATCGACTCAAAGGCAGACCAGGGCTTAGATGGATGGGTGCAGTCGAGAGGGATGTTTTTTTAAATAATGTTTATTTAAAATTAATTGATGAAATTGATTCTAAAAACGAAAGCTTTACATGTTATTATTTCCTGTCATAATTTAATGAAAAAGCTAACATGTTTACTTTGTTTTCTGAATTCTATATAAAAAGAAAGATTTTTTTTTAAAAATCGGTTGAAACAAGTTCATTGTAAAGAGACTATCATTTAGAAAACATTTCTTTCGTTGTACAAATGGCATTTTTTAAAAATTGTTTTTATCCCTCATAATCGGTAGCTGTTGTGCACGAGTTATTATGTTTGAAGCCGCACACTCTACTTGAACATTATTAAAACAATTACCAGCAAGAATATCAGTGTTAAAATAATTATCAGCAAGAACATCAGTGTTAAAACAAAACATTTATCAGCAAGAATATCAGTGTTAAAACATTTATCAGCAAGAATATCAGTGTTAAAACATTTATCAGCAAGAATATCAGTGTTAAAACATTTATCAGCAAGAATATCAGTGTAAAAACTATTATCAGCAAGAATATCAGTGTTAAAACTTTAATCAGCAAGAATATCAGTGTTAAAACATTTATCAGCAAGAATATCAGTGTTAAAACATTTATCAGCAGAAATATCAGTTTTAAAACTATTATCAGCAAGAATATCAGTGTTAAAACTATTATCAGCAAGAATATCAGTGTTAAAACTATTATCAACAAGAATATCAGTGTTAAAACAGCTAACATTCCTTATGTCTCAACACCCGTCAGTTTGGTTTCTTATAATTTTTCTTGTTTCCGATACGAACTATAACTTGAACATCAAAGTAAACTGTGCGATTGATATTTCAACATTTCTTTTAATTAATAGCTTCTAAACTATTTCAATAGTTTCATTCGATTTCCTTAGTGAAGATTGAATTTGTATGTATTCTTTTCTTCCCATTTCCTTTTTTCGGTATAAATTACTCGTTGAAGAAACTTGCATAAATATTTTGTAATAACATAAATATGCTCATGTATTTATTTGTTTTTATGATAATCCATTTTGTATTTTTAACCAACAATAAATATCTATAAAACTGAAACTTGCCTTTTACAAAAAATGAAGACTTATTAATTTTACTATGAAATAATAAGTGTAAAAAAAAGTTGTGCAATTTTAAATCATACTGTAAACATTATAATTTTAGAACCATTGGTGTCTTAATTGATGGCATGATTTAATTTTAGATCTTAAGCGGTCTGTTCATTATTTGATTTGTTTGTTTGTTTTTTCTTTTACCCCTTGTTTTCCAAAAAATGTATACGTAATATAACTGGAAGAAATAATTTAACAATTATTGAATGTTTAAATGTTACTTTTATTAGATGTGCTCTTTGATTAAACATAAGTTGTCGTGTAATAAAGAAGGAAACACTGTTATCTTCCTCTTGATCTCCAAATGTATTTCTTTGACGTTGTTACTTATTTAAATCGTTAAATCATATAATAGATTAGATCTCTATGCTAAATCATTCCTTTCCATAACTCAAAGTCATTCCAACTCCCAGTGCATGATACTCTCACTAATTAGCCCTTGCATCCAGTGAAATATCCTCATCAACACCAGCACATAACTATTTCAAATCCCCTCTACATGCATAAGAGCCAGAAGGATCAATAAATTGGTCATGGGCCCTTGATATACAGAAGACGAAGAAGAAATAATTACACTTTATGATAGGAAATAATAACACGTAAAGCTGTCTATTTTAATATCGATTCCCTCAATTAATTTTAAATGACCACTTCAGAAAAAATCCCTCTCCACATCACCCATCCATCCATCTAAGCCCAGGTCTGCCTTTGAGTCGGTTTCCTCTGGGGCCCTCTTCACCCCTCTTTCATTTGGCATTCTTGTTAAGTGCCAAGCCTAACCTGCACTTTTTAATTTCTGGTCCTAGTGTGGGGTCCTGATATAGACTGTAAAATTCCTCGTTGTTTCCTATTCTCCTTTAGCAATGTAAGTAAACACAATAAAAATATATGCAACCTTAAGGCCTTTATTTTAATGAAGTCAATATACATGATTCAATATGAAAACAAAACATTCGTTTTAACACCTTGTTATCTGTTCAACACATTTTCTCATCAAATGTAACATAAATTAAATCTTGTATAAATATAATAAGTTACACCTCCAGTTACTGTTTGTTCTAAGTATGTCTAAGGCAGGGGTCACCAGAATTTTTTTCACGGCGGGCCAGATAACTGACAAAATGACAAACGCGGGCCGTATGATCATTCTGGACAATACTGGCAAGTCAAAACGAAAGCTCTGGGGAAAAAAAGACGAAAACCTAAGTTTAGTATTCCGTGCACATCAATGGTGGTAACAATGGTAACGTCAGAGCTTAGGCGGAGCTGCCACGAGCCGGGGAAAGACTTGGGGTGGCAAACACTGCAAGATTTTAAATGAACAAGAAAATCTAGAAACAAAAATGAAAATGGTAAATTTAAGGCGCATAGAAGGAGATCTCCGCGAGGATGAAGATCTCCCAGTTTTCTAAACATAATAATTATTTAAATTAAAATTGTTTCAAACGTCTCATGGTCCATTTGTTTTAGCAAGCAAATTCATGTATCGTCCAGGGGCTTGAAGAACTGACGTCGCGGGCAGGATCAGGCCCGCGTGCCGTAGTTTGGGGACCCCTGGTATAAAGCACCAACAATTTTGTAAAAGGGTAAAGTTAGATAGACAATAATGAGATAGTGTTCGCTTAAGTGTGGCGTTTTTATGTTTATAGTGTTGCGAATAGAACTTAAACATTATGGCGAATACAACTTGAAATGGTAGATAATGGACCACTAAACGGGACTTTCTAACATATTTGTAATATTTACTAGCAAGTACCCGGCATGCGTTGTCAAATAAATAAGTGTTTGTGTTTTAATTATGTTTTTTTAAGTACTTTTTATATACAAAATATCTCTTCTTTTTTTTAAAACCTTCTGTTGCGTACTCTAATAAATTAGATGGTTATTTGAAACGTGAGCAGGCCACACACAGCTGTCCACGTGAGCAGGCCACACACAGCTGTCCACGTGAGCAGGCCACACACAGCTGTCCACGTGAGCAGGCCACACACAGCTGTCCACGTGAGCAGGCCACACACAGCTATCCACGTGAGCAGGCCACACACAGCTGTCCACGTGGGCAGGCCACACACAGCTGTCCATGTGAGCAGGCCACACACAGCTGTCCATGTGAGCAGGCCACACACAGCTGTCTACGTGAGCAGGCCACACACAGCTGCCCACGTGAGCAGGCCACACACAGCTGTCCACGTGAGCAGGCCACACACAAGATGGTTACCGGGAGGAAAATCGCTAACCAGAGTATTTGAAACACCAGAGAAATTGCAAAGATTTCTCTCAGAATAGAAGTCACCACTGGCAGCATATTTCAGTGACAAGATGGGTCACAAAACTGGGTTACCTGTGTGACACATTCAGCCTGCTGAGCTGAATCTTTCTCATCAGGGGCAAATGAAAACTGTTTTCAGTAGTTGCATTTAAGCCAAACTGGTGTTGTGGGGACGACGCGTGAACAGAGGCATTGTGGACATGTTTCAAACAGCGGGGATTTCAGGCAAGACTGAGCATTCATTCGCTCACTTGGTGCACGACCAACAGCCTTTGCTTTTAAAAGAGTTTGTGTGCTCCTTTAATCCACTTAAGACCTACAATCTGGTAAGGAATTAAGCAGCGACCCATTTGTCAACCAATCAGGCGAATCCAGCATGTCTTTACAAGAAGAAGCTCGATTGGCGGAGTTTGCAAATGACGGCGGTCTTAAAACTACGTTCAAGGAAACAACTCTGCAGGTGTTCTGGATTACAGTCATGTCAGAATACCCTGACATTGCCAGAACAGCACTTAGATCTCTATTGCCATTTCGGACATCATAGTTTTGTGAAGCGGTGTTTTCTGCAGTTAGTCTCCTATTACGCCACAGGTGGAACGGTCTCGTTGCAGAGAAACAAGCTCATGGTTCTCATTGATTTGGCGTTCTAGTGAATTAAAATGTTAAATCACTTACTATATTTTCATTTTTTGGTGTAACTGTATTTTATTTTGAAGGCATGTTTAAATACAATTAAATTAAAATTTTTAAATCAAAATAATCTAAACTATAAACAATCAACACCCCCCCCCCCCAAAGCGGGCCGCGGTAAAATTAGCAAACGTTGACCGGACCCCGGAAAAAAGGGTTGGGGACCACTGCTCTAAATAACAACTCAACCTAAAGACACACACTTATCATTAATCAAACTATCCTCTAAAAGGCATTGAGATTTTTAGAAAACCTCCTCTTTCCGTAGGGACAAGAGCCTTAGAAACATGCTAGTTATAATCCCACATCCCTGCAATTAAAGCCCATAATGACACCAAAAGTTGCAATCGTAGCCGCTGTAATAATAATAATAAAAATAAAGTTTATTTCAAAAACACGCTTCATCCCCAAAGGCTCGAAGCGCGGAATAAAGTAATATAATTTACCACATTTAAAACAAACGCAACACTACAAAAACTAATTACAAACATACCAAGTCAAAGTATTTCTACCCATTTCAACCCTAAGCAACACAGCCAATATGCATTAAATGGAAGATATGGTAGACAATCATAAGGTGTTTGCGAAATAGGTGTGTCTTTAAATCGGGTTTAAAGGACTCCAATGTCAGGTTGTTTCTGAGATCGACAGGAAGGGCGTTCCAAATTGTTGGACCAGCAAATGCGAAAGTGCGCTTTCCGTAAGTCTCAAGGCGAACACGTGGTGTCAAGAATTTGACACTATCGGATGAGCGGAGTTGTCTAGTGGGTACATAAGGCGTCAGCAGCTCTTTCAGATAGGACGGCGCCAGGCCATGTAAGCAGCGGTAGCACAACGTTGCGATTTTGTACTCGATGCGAGCACGCACCGGCAGCCAATGCAACTCTCTCAGAAGTGTTTTAGCATGGTCGAAATTGCGTTTGCGAAGAACAATGCGAACCACATTATTCTGTGCTATTTGGATTTTATCCAGGAGCGTAGCTGGAAGACCCACCATGAGAGCATTGCAATAGTCCATGCGTGATAGCACAAATGCAGACATTAGCCTCTTTGTTGCATCAATTGTTAGGAATCGCCTGACGTGACTAATCCTGCGCCGCTCTAGAAAAATTGCCTTGCATAGCATGTTAATGTGACTTTCCAAGGTTAGTCTTCGATCTAGGTAGACACCCAGGTACCGCACTGTTTGAGCTAACTCAATACGCACACCTGAGAGATTGATTGATGTCCTGTTATTTGCAGATTTCTGCTTCTGAGCGGTCGTGATGGGGAGCAGCTCAGTCTTATCCTCATTCAATTTGAGCTTGTTTATGGTCATTCAGTGCTTAACCGACTCCATTGTCTTCTGTGTCATACTGAGCAGCTGAGTGAACTGAGAGGGGATCACGGATTGATGAAGTTGTGTATCGTCTGCGAACATGTGGTATTGCATGTCGAAATGTTTGATCTCTGCACCCAGGGGCTGAATGTACATCGTGAAAAGCACCGGGCCTAGGACCAAGCCCTGGGGTACTCCGAATTCGATATTAGATTTCTTTGAGGTCAAGCCGTTTGAAATAACTGACTGGACCCGATTAGTCAGATATGATCGGAACCAACTCAGGACGGTATCGGTGAGACCGAACGTTTTTTGCAGACGCTGGAGAAGTATGCCGTGATCAAGCGTATCGAAAGCTTCCGATAGATCGAGTAAAGACAAAATCGATACCTGGCCCTCATCACAAGACGACAGAAGGTCGTTTACAACGCGCAACAGGGCTGTCTCAGTAGAGTGATGCGCCCTGTATGCTGACTGGAAAGGTTCAAACAAGTCGCATTGAATGAGGTGATCCAGAATGTGGCGGAGAACGAC